TTTTTCCAAAAATGAGCATAAAAATGGTTTCTTTCCCAAATGGATTTTTGTGTTGACCTTCAGAATCGTGTTCACATGCATCACATTCCCATTTTAGAGCCTTTCCCGAATATGTTTAGATGTGAGTTTTTGGGAGATTTGCAGGTGAACGTATCATTATGCGAAGCCGTACGTTTTATAGTTAACCAAAAATAAAAATCGCAGAAATGTCTGGAATATAGCATCTTATTCTCTACACACCTTTTGTTACGTAATTAAAAATGTAAAGTTTATCTCGACGGTACATTTCAGGACGCAGGGTCACCTGGTGTGAGTCACGGGCAGCCTCAATTGCTCAACATGGCCATGGGAGGGATGACCGATGCTCATGGGTAAGCCAAAGTCTTTAAAGATCTCTTTCATGAAAAATGTTCGCAGCTGGGGCCTACAGTGTTCCTCTGTATACAATATCCCCGCTTTGTAAATTGAGCTTGGGCAAGGTTATCACCGTTGAGGACATGAGACGTTAAGTAATTGTGTCACCGTTCCCTGCTCCTGTCATCTTATCGTATACCTTTCTCCGCGAGATATTTATTTATTCTTTCTGTCACCTTTGCACCGAATATCTGTTTTTCGTCAGGGTAATCCATCTCAAAACAAAACTAAACGGCGCCTGTTTTGATTTGATCTTTTGATTTCTCTCCCTTTTCTGTCATCTTGATTATTTCTGAGAAAAAAATCGCTCTGGGCATAGTATCATTTTCATGCGTTTTTTAAAAAAAACCTTTTCTCTGTTTGAAAAGTGTTGTTTCTAGGAGACAACCCGCAGCTGTTGGATATCACGTTGAAGTTCATCAGTTCGACATATTCAGTCATCCATCAGAGCCGGATAACTCTTCACAGAACTCTAGTCAAAGTGCTACTCCATCGACTGTACCACTATCTGCTCCCGCAACAAATATTGTTGCTCAAGCAAATGTACCGGCACCCTCGAACAGACAACGACAAGGTAGTTGATGTCTTCTGTTCCTGAAGTATATCTGAATGTTCGGAACTCTGTTCTAGAGATGAGTTCAAAAGTGATCAGTTTTACATCAGAATCATGTTTTGCAAAAAGTTCTGTCGTTTTTCTGACTCTTTTTGAGTGTTCTGAGTGTTCTACATTTTTCTAATTCCGAGCAAGCTGCCACCTTTAATTTACCATTTTGAAGATTCCTTTAACGCTGGGGTCAGTTTTGTTCCAAAGCACTTTTTTATCACTTTCGAAGCTTTGAGGGTACGTCAAATAGCAGTTTTGCATGATTGTGTTTTCCAGCACAAATTAGACCTGAGGTTAACGAAAGCAAGTCAAGATCTGGATCAATAAGTAGTATGCTATTAAGCACTTGTTCGACAGTACTTTTTCCGCCTTGTAGAGCAGTGAAGGTGATTAGGGGTGGTCGGATATCGGACGTTGCCAACGACCAGCGTCCTACAACAAATCACTTTTCATGTGTCGCCCACCGTTCTCAAAACCTGTTTAATGTACTGAAAACGATCTGTTTTTTACTGGTTTGCGAGATTCTGTGTATACAGATTTTTTGCGAGAGCCTTTGGAACGTTGCTGAATGGATTAACCACGATCAAGTTCCACAAATTTCGCTGAACAGAAACTGTACTGAAGGAAAGTCATCGTAACCTTCATAAGGTAGCGGCTGGCCTAGCTTCATGAAATGAGGTATAACTGTCAGAGTGGAAAAGTGCTCCTGACCATATGTCGAAATAAACCAAAAACTTTAACACATTTGCCCAGTATTTCTCATCATAAATGGACCGACTCACTCCTTACAGCTGGCTCGACGCACATTGCGCAGCCAACCCTGCCCAAGCAAAACCAGCTGCATTTCGGATCAACACGTTGACGACATCGCGCGTTTTGGCTTTTTTGGCCGCGTGGGACCAGAGCGATTTTGCGAGCGCCGCCGCCTCACATCAAATCCGTGGATTTTGAGCTGTAAATACGCAGATGCGATGAAGTGTTTTCAATAATTTCGATCTGTCTAACTTATCGGGAGTTACAGTAATGGAAGTTCGACCGAAATGACGTGTTAAGGCCATGAAAAGGCAAATTTTACTTACTTTCCCTTTAGTGGTTCCAAAATTAATTTGGACGTGGTTGTTTCAGTAAAAACATATCTTCCCATACGAATAGGTTTGTATTCACTTCTATTATTCTTTTTATCAACATGTTCACGTTAATGAAAAGAAAACGAGGAATGAACTGAACAGACATTTCGTAAGGTCTGGAAAACCTCTGCCAAACTAAAGAATATTTGGCCATTCTGTGAGCCACGTGGTTTCAAAGTATGGCCTGTAGAATGAGCACAAAAAAATTTGGGAAGAAGTCGGGCATGTGCGGAAAAAATTGATGCCAAAAATGTTGACGCGCATGCGCGTCCGCTGTCGTAAACGTGTTAATGTTGCAACTGTTATACTCAGTAGACCTCCTGCTTAGCATGTGTCTTTTTTCGAGAACTTAGATCCTTTATGAAGAGAAACACTTCGAAAGCCATC